CTCGATAGGAATTCTTGATCTAAATATTGAACGACACGTTGATGAAAAGATTTGAAAAACGCTTCAGGTTTGATTCAGGAAATAATTTTAAAAGTTTCCTTTGTGATTACAGATTTAGAAGTTCAGGCCTTTATTCAGTAGAATATTTAAATTAGACGAAATGTTAATTACTGTGTGCAGGTAGAGACAGTTCATTTGATGATCGAATCGAAATTAAGTTGATTAAAATTTTATTTACAGTTTTATAGTTTATTTACACAAGTTGATTAAAAGTAGGACAGTTCAAAGTGCCACTACTTATGGCATGCAGGTCCGGAGAAGTGGGAGAAATTGTTTGTTTTTATCGGCTGTTTTGAAAATTAGCAGTTTTCTAATAACCCAAGAAGCCAGGATTAATTTTTAATTATATTGCTAATCTATAATGTGCTAGTTAAAATATGAATAGAAAATATTTCTATTTTATGTTACAATAGTTTTATTACGTACACTGGTACTATAAGACCTAGTATCAATACTTAGTTAAATTTTAATACAATTGAAAGGGAATATGGTGTTTTATTGCCTGATATAATATTGTCTTTGCATAAAAAAGCTGCAAATTTTTTAACTTTTGGAGTGTCGGGCTTCATTGCAATTTGATGAGGCCATTTGCGGGTCCTTCTTATGGTAATGGTAAGGCGCTTACTTCCATATTATCAACCGCTAGCGTCTTGTTCTAAAAGCAAATTGCATCGTCTCTTGTTTTTTTTTCACACAGAGTGGTATTCGTTTAACCACGTCAAAAGGAGGAAAGGCGAATGACCTGACCGGACCGGAGGTCCAGCTCGGAACCTCGCGTTTTTAACTCTGAGACTTTACTGACTGAACAACCCCTGTTATTGCATATATGAAGTCGGTGTATGTGACATATACAGATCTCTGCCTATTAGAATAGAATGCTGTTTTTCTGCATTCCATTCTTTTCAGCCATAGGCCTGTTATTCATTCATTTCAGCTCTGTGACGTCTTTCTACTCATCGGTTGTCAGCTCTTTAACCCTATGCATTGGATTAGTTGTCTGCATGAAAGAGACCAGGTTTCGGTTGTAGTTTCTATTAGCGTTTGGTTAATGTCAGCCTCACCAGTTATGCGTGTAAATCATAATTTCTTTTGTGCCTCCTGCTCGTCGTCATGATTTTTCTGATCGTTATATCAGTGTAAATCATGTCGTAATCATCATCTCCCTTTGTCTGCTGATTCTGCTTCTCGTCTTTCTTGTCATCATCGCCGTCTTATCGCCATTGCCAGCATTGCCAGTTGCCTTTTTCGATCAACTGCTGGATGAAGGTCTCTAAGAGTCTGATATTAAACTATACATTAATTTGCAGTATTTCTCCAAAAATGAAGGTTTCCTTACTGTGATCTGCTACCCTTGGACCAAATCTAATATCTTTTGTTCATCGATGATTCATTAATCTTGTAGCATGTCTTAATAATTACAAGTCTAACTAGTTCGCTTTGGTAATGCCATCACTAGGCCCTGTTTGCTCTTCTGTCCATTCTTTCCTCTGCCGTTCTCTTGCTTTTCTGAACCGTGTTGCAACTTATTGCAGGTTTCATGTTTAGATCCATATGCTGGCACAGAGAGCGCGCCCTTATCGAAAACCCTCCAATTAAAGTACAAGGACCGTACTTCATATAAGATGATCTTCAATATTTCTCCGGTTTTGTTTTTCATTTTTACTTTTCCGCTGATTTGGTTCAGTTGATTTTTGGTTGCAGAGGGAGCGGTTTCAGACAGAGATAAATTTTTACATTAAATATCATCAGGAAATGGTTCGTTCCCTTTTTTATCTTCTTTCAACCGGATTACATTTCAACCCGTGACGGAAACCATACGCTTATTGACCAGGGTTTTCTCTAGTACTTTATTATTGTTGCCAACTTCTCTTGAGCTGATATTTGTTTTAAAATGCGACCATTGTTTCAGAGTCAACGTTTAAGCTTCAAGTTTCCGTTTTATGGCCACATGACCGAAAATATCACCATTGCTACCGGAGGTGAGGTTATTTAACCAGCGATATATTTGGCTTGATGAGCTTTTGACTTCAGATTGAACTGAAGTTCAATTTAGGCTTCGCGTACGTTGGTGAACATGTGCACAGCTGGCTGGCCGCTACGCAGTACATCGCTCCTTTGATGGCCAATTTCGACACTACGACCAGCGACGAGTCGAGAATTCTCTACGCGGACACAGGTATCACATTCAGTGGAGAAGTTTCTTTTTAAAACTGACATCTTCTCTGAAGTACTTCATCGACTTTCTGTTGACTGAGTAACCCCGATGCGAGAAAAGTACTGGCAATAGCGTTACAATTCAGAAGACACAGTACTGTCAGACCGTCTTTTAAGCAATTTGCAAATGGTTTCAGATATGCCATGGAAGGATGTGGTGAAGATGGAGTTACTTGCAATTAATTTTAGGGAAATGTCTGTACGAAGCACTTTGTTTAGCTGTTTTTCTGAAACGTTCCCTTTGAAGCTCCTTATTTTGATTAGATGAGTTTTTGTTGTTAAGGAAATAAAGGCTCTGAATCCCTCTATTTTGTGATATTAATGCCGATAGAATGAGAATGTAGACGAAAGATTTAAATACCTGTTGAAGTCAGTAGGTTTCCTTTATACAGAAGAAGATAATCACCCACTAACAGGATGAGAATAAGTTTTTCTGAAGTAAATTATAAATGCTGCTAAAATTCAGAGAATTCATCTAGATATGCATATTAGACGAAACATCAAAAAATGCAGAAACTTCAAAATCACTTGACTTGAGCCTACGTCTATGATTAATGGTAATAGCCGAAGGAAGCTTACCAATTCAACCTTGCCATTGCACATATCGTTTTCCCGTACAGCTTGTGGTTCGCTCACTACTTGATCAGGTGGCTTCTAGACTGACCTGACAGAAAGCATGGACGCATTTGGAGAATAAATTCATGCACTGTTTCATTTTACATTTGCTCGAAATCATCACCGTCATAGACTTGTTATGTATGCTTCAATATTTTGTGTGGCTGACCAGTGAATGACCTTCCAGGCGTAAGCAGATCACAACTGTTGAATGACTGCTGATCGTCTCATTTCAACCTGAATATCATCATAAACTGAAATCACCTCTTGTTAATTTAGGAAAGGAATTCGTAGTTGAATGGAACCAAGTCGTACTGCGTAACCAGGAAGAAGGTGACAAATTTAAAGATTAATTGGCTTCTTTGTATTGTGCTTATTTTCAGCCGGCAACTTCACGTTTCAATTGTCGTTGCATGACAATGGTGACATTTGGTTTGTGTACAAAGATGTGTGTTGCCGCTTATTGTTTGTAAGTTTACTTGATCTGATGATTTTTAGATACCGGTCGAAGTGAAGGAGATTAATGATTTTCGACACCCAAGGAAAGTCGGCCTCTCCGATGCGTACTTGTTTACGCACAAGATACTGAGTAAGATTCGAATAAATTCTTTCTGAACATTGGGGTACTTTTGCACTCTTAAATCCGATTCAGTTTCTACTGCCGTAAGTTTGAGCTTATTTTTAAATCGGTATCTCATATATCTGACATGAATGACAGACAACAAATTAGGTAGGTTTATGGGGGTTAAACATAGCAGATGCTCATTCTGCTGCTCTTACTATAGACATCAGGGTTTATCACCAATTTGGACAGTGGTTCAAGATCGCTGAGGCTTTGAGCAGTATTTTGAGGATGCGAGGATTGAATGCTATGCTTATCTGTTCTTTTCTTTAATTCTCTATGCTTGTTTTAACGTTTAGACTCCAACAGAAGGATCATATACGAGTATCATCGTGTCGAAGTCCCCTTGACGGAGGTCCGAAGTGGAGCGGTTGTAGAAATCAAAGCAAATCCGGGTTGGTGATATATTTTTTGATCTTTACGCAAACAGTTGAGTATTAATCGAAAAGAGATTTAATTGATTCAGCTGTAGCCAGAAGTTGCAGTTACATCGCAGATATTGCGGTGCAACTGCGCGTATTCTTCTGCCATGTATATCTGAAGTGCACATAAGCAGAACTAACGTTAGGTTACAAAACATAAATTGAATTAACAATTCGAAAATTAATAGTCGTAGTCGAATTGAGCCGATCTGAACAGCAGTATAACACCCTCCTTTACTCTCGTAGATGCCTAGGCGACAATTTAAGCTTACTGTAGTCGATATTTAATACCCGCAAAATAAAAATGTATCTTAAATCTTGTCTTGTATATGTATTTTTGAAACATTGGTCTGATTACATGATCAGGAAACGAGCCATCATTTAGTTAGTAATAATATGGACCATTGCGCTCTTGCGACGACTCAA